TCACGCCATTTGGTCGTTTCAGGTGTTGCTGGCTGTAGAGGAAGCGTGTAATGCCCATTGACGCAGCAGTACAGATTCTCTTTCTCTCGGTCGGCTCTATTTTTCATCTAGCAACCAGGCCCAATATATCAAAAATGTTTCGGCATCTCATGCTGAGCGCGCGCGCATTTGCGAAACATTCTGTACATTGCTGCCAATTTAACAATTCAATTAAATGCATCGAATGAAACAGAAACAGAAACAGAAACACATACGATATAGATGCGAAACCAAAACCATCATCTATCTGCCAATTAGTGATGGCAGTCAAGAAGAAAATTCACTGCGATGCGAACGATACCGACGCAATATCAGAGATATATTCGGAATCCGCCAAGATGAAGAATTACGTTATTATCTAGTTGTGGTTGTGTTTGGCTTAATTTTTGAAAAATGAAATGAAATCAAATAATTGGAGGAGTGATCATAAAAATGGATTAGTTTTGTGCGCGCCGAAAACTGATTTGGCAGACACTTTCTAAAATTCAATCATTTTTTTCAGCAATGGATCGAAAAATTGGCGGAGTGAACACAGTAGAAAACAACAATAGCGAAACAAATCAAATGGCCGTGAATTTCCAAGTGTTTCATTGTTCATTGATATGAGATTTGATTGTGATATTTCACATGCAAATGACTCGCAAGATGGATTTCGAGCAATCAAGTGGAAATCAGAGAATGAAAGTGTTTTTTTTTCGAACACGTTTTATTCGAAAACACACGCTTTGCTACACATTTGGTCACACTCATTTTGGGCATGTTGATTGCGGCAGCCGGAAATGTCATTGTCGTTCAATCGCGACATTTTTCTAGAATTTATTTTGCTATCATTCAACTAGCACATTGTTGAATGCAAAATATGTTTGCCGTGGGCGATCAAACGCAAGCTGGATATTATTCCGTCCGCGAGAGTGCTTTCATTCCATTTATAGCCCAATCGAGTATTTATTTATTGGTGAATATAAAACTTTTGACACTGTGTCTCACTCCTTGGGTATTTTGATCAGAGCAGCGCAATGAGTTGTGAGAACCACGACAAAGTGTGAGTGTGCGTATTCAGTGTTTACTTTGGGTTAGTTCAGGGTTATTTATGACAACAAATTCAATGAAATTCCGCCCACTGTCATACAGTTGCCGCGTATCAACAACAATCGTCATCATGTGTGTCACTTCAGCCGCATAATATTTCCTTCCGTCTTGCCTATACGAGCTGGTCCATGTGGAATGTTATGCCTATTGCGATTACAAAAGATGTTCTACTTTCGAACATTGGAAGAGAAAAGTGCACAAATCAAAAGGTGCCACAACGGTCAAAACTAAACTGAAAATCCGTCGCTATCAAAGCCCGTTTACATAAATTATCAATATTTATGAGACAAGAAACGTAAACATTTAACACCAAATGATCAAGCTCTAGCTATCCAATTTTGAATGTGCGCAAATGAAAGAAAAAAAACTTTCCAAAACCGGCTTTTACTCTGTCGTGATGCATGGCTGAAGATTAGATAAATGCGCGAAATGCTGCTGAACGAATAGAAAAACCATGCTCAGCACACACTTGATGCTGATTTTTTTCAGCTTGATTTACCTGGCCAACTGTTTACAGACCGGTCAAGCGATGAAAAATTATGCTTTGCTCAACGGTTGAGCCAAAGGTAAACGACTTTTTTCTGCTCGCTCGGCTGAAAGGTCGTTTCGACCAACGACGAAGCTTTATGAATTCATTTCTCACTAATTTTTGCCAGTTCCAAAATACATGATTTGAGGAACCGATTCAAAGAATTGGATTATGTTAAAATTTCAGTAGAACAGACGACCAAATAAATCATTGAGATAAAAAAAAACAATCTAGATTTCCCGTGTGAATGAAATATTTGTCGTTCATTGAGAAGCGGTTGGTCAGTGTTTGAATGGAATCTACGACATTCCACGAAATGATTTGCGGAGGTGTTTTGAACATTTGCTTCACAGCACAAGTGCCAATGTGCCTGTGCATTCGCATACACAAAACTGAAAAGTCAACTTTTCAGCTCAAGTGTCGGCCGATTGATTTCTCAGCCACGAACCACGAGCGCATTATGTAAAGTCGATAAGTGACAAACGGTAAATAGCCTGACACCAGCAATTCGCTGTCATTTTCATTTCATTAAACACGCAACTGTCGATCGCATGCATTTGTTGTTTACCACACAGCCAAGTCGATTTGGTTTTCCGCAATTTCTACCAAAAGGCTAGAAAAAGTGAAAATGCTGTGTGTCTGGTCAATAATTTAATATTTGCAAAGTGGTCAATTTGTTCGCTATGAAATTTACGGCGACAATTTTCGCTCGTTCACAGCACTTACGCTAATTGGTAAAAAATAATATTAGCTAAGCACATGCGGCCAGAGATTATTGACATTATTGGGTAATTATTGGCTTCCCATTTCATTGCATTTGACAAATATTTGTGGTGTTTGACGAAATTTTCACTCAAGGATCGACACCTCGATAATAAATACAGCGATGATATTTTGGATTTCTTTCTTTTTTTTTGGAGGGCCAATTTGACACAAATTTCAAATTGATTTTAAAACAACCGTTTTGGTAAGAAAAGAATGGCAACGACAAAAAGAAATTCATTGAAAAAATTTAGAATGTCTCCAAATTCGGCCATTCACTATGGATAATTAAGAGCCAAAATGAATTTTTAAACGACTTTCGACGATTTGTGCTCGTGATTTACAGGTTTTTCTTTGTTTGGAAAGGTGAAATTTTCGCTGTATACGGTGTTTCTGTAATCGCGGTGATCGTATCATTAGATATGCGCTGCATTGTTAACAACTTGCGCTAACATTTCCTGTAAGCCATTTAATAACGTGTGTAACATTCCTTCCGACAAATAGAGGCGTCGATAATCGCACAATCTCTTGTCGAGGTTATCCCATGTGGTGCATCGCGATGTATCTATCGACATTTCCTCCTTCGCATAGCAAAGTTTGCAGTGTTTTATCCACAAAGTTTGCAAATTACAACCAACAAAACGAATTCACTTCCAAATTAAGAATTTTTTTTTGGAGAAGGCATCAATTTTGAAGGCACCAATTTAAACTTGAAAAGCGCCGATTCGTTTCGAAAGCATTTAAAAGTCGGTTCATCTGTTGGAATTACACCTTAATTACAAATCGAGATTGTAAATGAAGAGTTGTTATCAATAAAAGATCACAATTTAGAGAGAAAAAGCAATTCACCCTAAATTGGATGATAATTGCGCCATTTCATAGGATTCATTTGCGGAATTATCAATTAATTGGCTGAGTCAGTTAAAAATCGACTGATCTGCTTAATATTTATGGGCCTAATCGGCTCGACAAAAATAGTGAAAGCCACAAAGAAAAAAATTGATGTAAAAAATATTCAAATTCAAATTGCTTTGAATTGTGTTTCAACACAAATGGATTGTGTCTCGTTAATCTTCCGACTGTCTTAGTTTTGAGGATGTTTTAATCTAAATCGTGAGAAAAAACTTAAATTGTCATTCTTGTTGAACAACAACAAAAAACCAAATGAACAAAATCATATGAAAATTTAGCAAATTTATCACCTGTCAAGGTGATATTGCATCATCATGTGTCGATCATTCGAGATGCGGACGATCGTATGTCAACAGCCATTAATATTGTGTTAAACGACGTAAACACATTAATTTTTCATGTAATAATTGATGTGCCTAATGGAAATATGCCATATATGCGTTGTACTCAAGATGAAATCCGAAATCAAAATACGCCACTCAACCGAACATGGTAAAAACGGCTTTGATTTCGCTGACACAATGAGCGAGAGAATTCAATTGAAATTCGCGGTTCGTTTAGAAAAATGATATGACGCATGACCACATGGTGCGGTGCATCAAAATGCAGTGCCTCGGCTAAACAACGTCGTTGCCAGTGTTCATATTTAATTCATAAATTTTATACCTGAATTGCCATCGAATCGACGCGCACATTCAATCGATTCAAAAAGAGATTATCGTTCATAAAATATTGTGCGCAATGTGCGACATTCTATAACAAGTCATTACTTCTTTTAACAACAAGAGCGAAAAAAAAACTGTCGAGTGGAATTGAAATATTTTCCCCAATTTCAGCCAAGAATACGTAATAAGTGCTGTATTTGTGTATACAATCCAATTTTGAGAGCGTTCGAAATTAAAAAATTTTTTATCTCCTTCTTCTTATTCTTACAACTTGATGCCGGTTGGAGATCGAACACAAATTTTTGGATTTTTTTTGCGATGCATTTCAGTACTGTGTTTTTGTATGTCATTTTTGCAAGATTATTTTCGTGTACACAAGAATTCATTCAGGTTGATCGGTGTAGGCGATAAATTGTTTCGATTCCAATATTGTCCATGTCTGGCGGCAATTAATTTGTCGTATTGGAACCAACAAGTGAAATTCAAACGATTTCAACAGCGTTTTGACAATTTTCAGCTTCAAACAATAACAAATTTAAGACCTCGAAATATGCATTTCGAGCCATAAAAAGCAGTTGACCAATTTATGTAACCTGTTGAATTCTTAAAATGTCTTAAACATTCCTGACATAAACAACACCAAAATCCTTTTATTCAAGCGATCGATCGATCGACACAAAATCAATATTGTTGCGTAGGCGATGCCATGCCATTAAAATGCTTTGTTCCGAACCTTTATTTATGCGACGAAACATTACTTGCATCACACAAACAGCCCAACAATATGTTTGTTGTCTATTATTCACAACCGTTTTGTCTTCTTATTGCAGTTTATACGCTGGGAAAAATTTATTGGGATTTCAAACGAATTTATGTTATTTCAATTCGATTAAAAATGCATCGATATAAATTACAATTTTATGATTTAGAAAATGTACCGAAATTGTAAATATAAAATATGTAGGCAATTAAATAAATCTCCCTTTTTCTTGCATTATTTTCAGATCAAATTGAAAAAAGTGCTGGGTTTGACGGTTTGCAGTAACGCAGCTTTAGATGTTTCGCCAACGACAGGTGTAATTGCCTATCCGGCCGGGTATGTGTAACTTTTGGTTTGTTTTTTATGGACGTCATGTTAATTTTGTTTGGTTTGATCGGTCTTTTTGTTGGATCATTTTCTTGCACCCACACGCATCCAATTATATTGTCTTTTCGATTGATTTTTTATTGATTCGTTTGACATTGCCGCAATCAAGATTTTATACACACTCGAATAAAATCGAGGTGGAATAAAATTTTCGATAAACTGAGTTGAAAACTTCAGAGTAATATGGACACGTGCTTGAAATAAAGTTTTAATTAAACAAACGAATACAGCTGAATGTGTAATTTAGAAAGAAGAAAAAAAAACTCAGTACTCGATCCACAAATATCACCTTCGTGACATTATTGTGCAATATCTGCGAAGTAAAGCATTTAATTCCAATTAAAATCACAGCGTGAACCTTTTATGCTTTTTCTTTTCCCCTCGGCCGATTCTTGAGTCTGTGCCATTAAAAGTAATACTTATTTGTATTACGAACGTATGTGAATCGTACAAATCGTAAGAATTTTATGCAGCCGCAGCCGCAGCAGCAAAAAACATAGTGTCATTGACATTGACTAGTGGCTACACACAGTTGAACAATTACCGTTTTCTGCTGTTTCGATACGTATAGGCTGAAACACTTGCCGTACGACAACAATAAATGCTTCAACCTTTCCACAGGCGGAAACAAAAGAAAATCGTTTGCAAATAAAATGAATTTGCATTCAACATATCGTATTGAAAACGGAATGTAATGAAAACGGCGACACTTGAAGCGATTACGTGATTTCCATATTTTGCTGTGGCTGAGCTAAGCAACAGCAAAAATGAATTTCAAATCGAAAATCATATACATTGACAATCAATTCAGCAATCACCATTTCAAGCACAATACTAAATGAATTGATATTCACAATCCTAACTTGATTGACATCTAAATACAGACTCATATCCTTTCGTCAGTCGATTGTGTGGCTTATGTCATTTTATGACTTGAACACATTCATTTCCTTGTGGGTTTGGAATATCCGCTTACAATTTCCATAAACCGATTTGATAGGCAAAATTACACATTCGCACTACGCTCGGTAAAGTTTTCTCGGTCTTGTTGACCTATAATCTGGTTTTATCTTGTATCTCATTTATTCACATCAATTAAAAGTATTTTGACTGGTTAAGCAACTTCATTACAATGTTTTCTCTGGTCAACAGAGATTGGTTGTTCTTGAATTCAATTTTATTGCATACGAACCTGAATATTCAAGAGTCGAGAACTGGAGAATTAATGATTGTTTCATTTTGCTTGGTCTATACTTTCAGATGTACCGTCGTATTGTTCAACGTAAAGAAGCTTAGCCAAGCATATTTATTGAATACCTCGCGCAAAGCGATCACAGCTGTTGCCTATTCGCAATGCGGCCGGTGAGTACAGTACACACACAATTTGTGCAATGTGCAATGCACCAGTAACTAAAGTGAATGCCTTTGTTTCTTTCTTCGTTTTGTTCGTCTGAACTGTAGATATATCGCAACGGGCGAATGCGGCCAGAATCCAGCAATCAAAGTGTGGGAATTGGATAGCAGTGCGGTAAATGGAAATATTGAATTGCCCGGTGGCAATAATGTTGGTGGTGTTGTGATTGCCGAATTCTTAGGTCATAAGTATGCCACGAGTTGCATTACATTTTCGCCAAATGGAAAGTATTTGGTGTCGGTTGGGTCACAGCACGATATGATCGTCAATGTGTTTGACTGGCGACAGAATTTAAAAATTGCATCGAATAAAGTCAGTGCCAAAGTATGTTCGGTGTGTTTCAGCGAGGATGGTAATTATTTTGTGACGGTTGGCAATCGGCATGTGAAATATTGGTATTTGGAAGGCAGTCGAAAGTACAAAGAGCCAATTCCGTTGATGGGACGCAGTGCCATTTTAGGAGAATTACGAAACAATGATTTCTGTGCGGTGGCATGTGGCAAAGGAGACGCCGCCGATAGCACATATGCAATCACCCGAAATGGACAGCTGGTCGAGTTCAATTCACGTCGGCTGCTCGACAAATGGGTCGATTGTCGGACCACATCAGCGAATTGTCTGAGCACCAGCGGCCAATTCATTTTTGTCGGTTGCGCCGAATCAATCATTCGCGTTTTTAATGCCGAAAATTTGGAATACATGACAACGTTGCCGCGAACACATTATTTGGGCGTTGATGTGGCGCAGGGTGTTCACATCAATCACATTACATCGGCACCGCCAAATTCCAAATATCCCGACACAATTGCCATGGTCTACGATGAAGTGCATGCAAAATTAACGTGCGTTTACAACGATCACAGCTTGTACATTTGGGATCTGCGGAATATTCAACGGGTTGGCAAGAGCCATTCGTTTCTCTATCATTCAGCCTGCATTTGGGGAGTTGAAACTGTGCCATACAACACACTTAAAAATCATCTGACACACAACTTGCCAACGGACTGTTTCCTCACATGCTCCTCCGATGACACAATTCGCGTTTGGAACATTGATGGCTGTGAAACGAACGAAGTCTATCGCAAGAATATCTACAGCAAAGATCTGTTGAAATTGTTGTACATCGATCCAGAGATGAATTACATCAAAGACATGGATAATCCGATACTTAATATGGAAAAATCGTCGAGCTACGATGGTCGAAACGGTGTACGATGCATTAAAGTCAGCCCGGAACGAAGCCATTTGGCGACGGGCGATCGCAGCGGCAATATTCGAATTTATCATTTAGGCACATTGAAACTACTCACAACGATCGAAGCGCACGACTCAGAAGTTCTCTGTTTGGAGTATACAAACGATAAAATCGAACGCCGTCTTTTGGCCAGTGCAAGCCGAGACCGATTGATTCATGTGTTTGATGTTGACATTGGATACCAAATTTTACAAACACTCGACGATCACTCGAGCAGCATCACATCGGTGAAATTCATCGGAAGTGGGCTGACATTTCAAATGGTCTCGTGCGGTGCTGATAAGTCAATCATTTTCCGAAACTTTCAACAAAATCAATTTTTACGTGGCAACAATTGCTCCGGCAAAACCACACTCTATGACATGGAAGTGGACAGTAACAATAAACACATTTTGACCGCCTGCCAAGATCGCAATATTCGAATTTATGGAACACAAAATGCCAAACACACGAAAACATTCAAGGGATCACATTCGGATGAGGGCAGTTTGATCAAATTGAGCCTCGATTTGAGCGGAATTTACATTGCAACCTCTTGCACCGATAAGACACTCAGCGTTTACGATTACTATTCAACGGAATGCATGGCACGAATGTATGGTCACAGTGAATTGGTCACCGGATTGAAGTTCACAAATGACTGCAAACATTTGATTTCGGCGAGTGGTGATGGATGCATATTCATTTGGCAAGTACCACATGATATGATCGTTACAATGCAAGCCAGATTATCGCAACAAGCAATTCGATCTGGTGGCACAATACCCCGACCCATCGCTTCGCCAACGAATAACGAAATGAACGAATCGCCATCATATTTAAATCACAAAAATATTCGACCACCGGAACAATTCCAAACACCTACGCCGAATTTCTTCACCGAAGACGTTCCTATTTCACCCGGATATCGATTTTCGGATGTTGGCCAGTTGCCGCAATGGGCGAAGAAAAAGACACCAACGGAAGAAAATGCCGACAATGTGCTGAGCTCAAGTCCTAGTCAATCGAATCAACCACAGCCGAAAACAAGAGGTCGATGGGCACAAAAAGGACCATTCGAACCAGATGAACTACGAGCCACGTCACCGGGTGATGCAACCGTTTCATCGACAACACCACCCATTCCCACAGCCATATCATACACAATACCAATCATTCAGACAAATCATCATAACAACAATCAAACGTCCGATTACAACAGCGCCAGTTCAAAGGATATTTATACAAACACGTATCTCAGCGAAGACAGTTCGATCGATAGCGGAGTTGAAAATCGACGCGATTTATTGCTCGTCAATAAAAATGTAAGTTTGATACGGCAAATTTAATTTTTGTGTGAATTTTTAGACAAATTTCTTTTATTTCTTAAAATTAATTGAGCTAACGCTTTTCTCTTTACTTCATAACAGACTCCAAAAGGTAGCCTACAATTCGAATCAAATACCGAGCACGATGGTGATATCGAAGATATTTCTGATGGCGAACGAACCAGTTCTGACCATGGAATGACCTTTTACCCGAATGTGCCTGGCACACCAACGTGAGAACTACTTCCATTTTTGAATGAGTAGTTAAACGCCTTGATTTTAATCATTTTCTCTCGTTTCAGTGGTGACTTCAAAGTGAATGCCATGAATGAAGAAGAGCTGCGAAAGTCGGTGAGACGTCAAAAGTTCGAGAAACAAGGCTTGAGTCTTACAGCGTCACAAAGCGGAACAAATACAGGTACTGGTACATCGGACGATGAAGATGATGCATCAACGCCAAGCGGTGATAATGCCGAACGTTCGCTGGCCTCAACGTTAGGTGGCAGCAATGAAAATATTCCCCTTCAACAGTCCACATCATTCTTGCAAGCTGCGCTCGATGGCCCAGGAAGCTTGTCAGATCGTAGCGATCGAAGTGAGTCACTGATGGCGTAAAATCCAAAACTCAAAGATTTTCTGTTGAATAAGTTGACATTTCTCTCATCAATCAGTTTGACATTTTCCATATCTCAAACGAATTTTTTTAATCTAATTTCTTCTTATTTTTGTCACAGAGCGTCGCAGTATCAGTTCGAAGCACAATAACTCGGATGTGAAGCCGAACTACACAAAATCGTTTGCCAACAGCAAAAAAGAGGAGCTCATGAAAGTCATCAACGAAGCAAAACAAAAGTTGGAAAACGTAAGTTGAAGCAGTGCGCTTGATTTTCTGCAAGAAAAAAGAGAAAAATTGTTAAAAATTTGGATTGAATGTGAGAAAGGGAAATCTTTGTAGCTAGAAATGTGATAGTACATTGGACAATGTTATTATTCCAAATATATACTACTATTTTCTACATTTATTTTTTTTTGGTAGAACATAAAGCTAATTTGAAATTGGTTATTTTGAAGCATATACTATAAATCACACCAACCCATATTTTATAGGGGCAAAAAAGTCGCATGAGAGATGCAAATAAACAGAACACAATACAAACACAAACTATACACGAGGTGAGAGCTAAACAAATTGGCACCAGCGAATTCATAAAATGCAAATCACCTCTCGATTGGTGATTCGAAATGCGGAAAACCAATTAAGAGCGTGTGCAATCGATTCAATCAAATTAAAAAAACTACTGTAACACATCTACACAAACACACACACACACAGATAAAATCGACACTAAACAAAAACAACAACAAAAATATTCTTTGGTTTTTTCTCAATGGTTACACCTAACGCGTATAGTTTAGCTCACTAATTCGATGCTCCGCTTCCTTTTATTTGATTTTTCCTTAACAAATTAGCCATTCGAATTTTACTGCCACGTTTTATGATTTTAGCTTCGCTTCACAATTAATGGATACTTTTATTTCGATTTTTTATGACTTTGTTTGGGTTTTATATTTCAATTACTCTTCCATATAACACTTTTTGCGTTTTGCCCTATTCGCTCTACTGCTTATAATTTTAATTTTATGTGATACACTTATAAATCTCCTGGTAGCTACACCTGGTTTTTTTTTATCATTGGAAATCGAACCAATTCATTCCAAAAATGAATGCCTGAGAATAAATGTAATTTCTGTAGTATTCGCAGAGC